ACAGGGTCTCGCTATGCAGTTCAGGCTGGCCTTGAGCTCACTTTGTAGCCCAGGCTGGTCTCGAACTAGCAATGATCCTCCTGCCTCAGCCTCCCCAGTGCTGGGATTACAGGCGTGGGCCACCACGCCCAGTTCCCTTTAATATGTTAATAATATTTAGTCTAGGTAGCTGCTTTATTGATGTTCGGCCGTATTCAAATGAGATGCAATAAAAATTACCCTAGTTCATATACTCAACTTCTGAAATAATCACATTCGATCTTTTCCAACGGGAGTGGGTATTTTTCCGTTCGTTATTTTTTTAAATCTTCTTAAAAATGAAACTTTCATTTTCACCAAGCCGCTGTTACTTATTTCCAAGACCTTCCCATGCTGACCGCATGGAGTCTTCCTAGCTAACCCTCAGAGGAAACGCCCTGCTTTCTCCCTTGGAGACCAGATTCAGCCCACCCTCACATTGCTGATGTGGGTATCCCGAGCCTCCCTCGCTTGGACCCCAGGAAACTCCCATTACTTTGTTTCAATAATGAAACCAATCTCACTCCCTAAAATACAAAAGTACTCACCTCCAAAGCCATGGCTGCAAGGTATCTTCCCTATCTGAAGTGTCTTCATGCGTTAATCAACCATCTCTCTCTATAAGCGTTTCCCAACAAAGACTTTTGTCCCCCACAGATCTCCTCATGTCCCTTCTTAGCACTTATTATATTCTAATTTGTTTTCTGTTCAGTGTCTTTGCAGGAACCCTATTAGATATTCTTCTTGGTTTAGGATAATATCTGCATAATAGTGTTGCGATGAGTGCTGGTCAAATTCAACGGTCAGCAGGATTTTAAAATTTGTTTTCAAATACTTTCATTTCCGGTTGGTGATGAATTCCATGCTGCATGAAAAATACAAGCAAAAAAATTAAAAACATAAAAATTAAAAATACAAATGAGAGAGCGCAATAGTGCTAAAATAGCTTAGTCAATAAGCAATCTTTTCCAACAGGTATTTTTGCATTCGTTTTTTTTTTTTTTTAACCTTCCTAAAATGAAACTTTAAGGAAGCTTAGGCTACTTTATAAATTTTTTTGTTTTTGTTTTTGTTTTTTCCTGTAACGGGAATCGAACTCAAGACCTTGCGCTTGCCAGGCAGGCGCTGTGCCGCTGAGCTAAATCCTCAGCCCCACTTTATGAATTCTTAAGCAATGAAAAAAATAAAATGTACAGTACATAAGACTCATAATTTAATGGTATCAACAAAGTACTTAAATAGGTGAATTGATAATGTTGAGAAGTGCTATATATTCTCCTTAATTGTGCAGTCTTTTCTTTCTTTTTTGAGACTGGGTCTTGCTCCATAGTTCAGGCTGGTCTTGAACTCACTAAGCCCAGGCTGGCCTCAAACTCACTTCGATCTTCCTGCTTGAGCCTCCCAAGTGCTGGGATTGCAGATGTTTGTTACTACAGCAAAGATGTTCAGTCCTTTCAAGAAAACATGAATTTCACACACCTGTACTCCTAGCACTTGGAAGGCTGAGGCAGGAAGATTGCAGTGAGTTCGTGGCCAGCCTGAGCTACATAATGAGTTCAAGGACACTCAGAACTATATAGTGAGAGCCTGTCTCAAAAAAAAAAAAAGAAAAGAAAGAGAGAGAGAGGGGAAGGAAGGAGGGAGGGAGGGAAGGAAGGAAGAGAAAGAAGGAAACTTCATACAGTAAATAGATTTGTGCTTTACGGGAAAGGGAAGGAGGTTTATAACCATAGGGATTGGAGATCGGATTGGTTTACCAATCAAAACAAAGCATCTGGGGCTTAGAAAAGTTCCGTAAGGAGATTCTGATAATAACTGATCTCCACATTGTTGTCAGTTTTTCTGAAAGCACTGATGAAGAATAAGTTAATGCATGAAAAACAAAAATGTAGTATAGCATCTGATCTTGAGAAGTTCACCAACCAGTGGACAGATTAAATAAGTGTTACATGTCAATGAGATAAGTACTGAGTAGTTTACAAAGTGACTTGGAAACAGAGAGATTTGGCAATGCCATCATTTTTCAGCAGTGCCATATTAAAAGGGAAGATATTTAATTTACTATTGTCTTTAAGAGACAACAGCACTCCGGAGGCTGAGGCAGGAGGATTGTTGTGAGATCGAGACCAGCCTGGGCTACAAAGTGAGCTCAAGGCCAGCCTGAACTGCATAGCGAGACCCTGTCTCAAAAAGACAAAAAAAAACCCTAAAATTCAATGTAGAATGTTTTTGTAAAAAAATTATTATACATTCACAATTTGTATTTGAAAGCTATGAAATGATATCGTATAATACATTGTCATTTATGAATACATATAACCACAGTATGTCACTTATGAATACATAGAATTGCAGTAAAACTATGAAAATAAACTGGGCACAGATAGTTCAAATTCATGCTTATCATTGTTTCCAGAATGAGACAGACAGAAAGGGAGGAATCTGGGGAGGACAACAAAGGGGATGTCAACTTTATCTCTAATATTTCTTTTACAAAGCAAAATTAAAAGAAAAAAACTAATTTGGTTTTTTTTTTTTTTTTTGTCTTTTTGAGACAGGGTCTCGCTATGCAGTTCAGGCTGGCCTTGAGCTCCCTTTGTAGCCCAGGCTGGTCTCGAACTCGCAATGATCCTCCTGCCTCAGCCTCCTGAGTGCTGGGATTATAGGCATGCATCACCATGCCCGGCTGAAAGAAAAAAACTAAATGAAAGAAAAAACTAACAAATTATTTGAAGCAAATGTGACAAATATTAATATTTGCTAATTCTAGTTGAGCACATAGCTGTTTGTTATACAGTATTCTTTCTACACTTTTTCTTTTTGTTTGTTTTGTTTCTTTTTTCTTTTTTTTTTTCCCCCCCGGGTAACGGGAATCAAACTCACAACCTCGCGCTTGCCAGGCAGGCGCTGTGCCGCTGAGCTAAATCCCCAGCCCCTGTTTTGTTTCTTGAGACAGGTTCTTTTTATGTAGCCCAGGCTGGCCTCAAACTCATGGTAATCCTCCTGCCTCAACCTCCCAAGTGCTGGAATTCTAGGCATGTGCCACCACACCTAGCTTTTTCTTTTGTGGGGGTACCAGGAATTGAACTCAGGACCTCATGCTTGCCAGGCAGTTTCATATTTTTTAAGTAAAATATAAAGCTACACAGCTAACAAAACCATCCTGCCCTTTATCCTCCTAAATCCTTTCATTATCTCTTCGAGGAGCCCAGCCACTTCTCAAGTAGAGGCTTCTAGCATTTCTTTACATTCTTCTGAGCCATGTATCAAGTTTTAAAGCCTTCTTCCATGAGGTTCCTTTAAAAAATGAGTAAATAAGTAATGCAAAGAGCATAATATTTATCTAAATATCTTCCTAGCTACTACATGTGTAGGAAAAGTTTGGGACAATTTAACATTTTAACATTACAAGCTTTAAAATATTTTTTTAAAAACCCTGGAAAGAGGAATCAAGAGTCACATTTAATACCATGGATCTTGAAAGCTACACCTACATTTTAAGTTCACATAAGCAGGGCTATGTCTTCTATTTCTTTTAACATTCCTGTTGTCTGTTGTTTCCTACCCTCCCGCCCCTTCACCCTTCTACCATCGCGGCACATGAAATGCCTGTTCTCTACATATCTGAAGCGCTCTTGAAAATGTTTGTGTCCGTGAAAATGTCACAACAGATTGGTTATGACATCAGCAGGACTAGAACACCATGGCCAGCAAGCAGTTGGTAACAGGGTAAGACTCAACCTCTGGAAGCAGCCGTTAGCTTCCTAAAAGACACTGTTATTAGCATCTGCCTATGTTCTATGAAAGCAGAAGTAAAAGAAAATCACTGAAAATGTCTGCCAAAAAGCAAAGTGAGATAGGCAGTGACTCCGAATCAGAAAAAGAGGTTGAGAATGCCAACATCAAAGAAAGATGGTCCGGAACTGCTCTCGATCTTCCCGTGGTCTCCAAGCTTGAAATCCCATTCTCTGTACAGGCAGTAATCTCTCGGATCGAGCAAGCGCAGCTCCTTCGAGCCAGAGAGGTAGGTCACGAATCAGAATCTTACAGATTGCAAGGTTTTGTTTTGTTTTGCTTTGTTTTTGAGACAAGGTCTCGCTATGAGTTCAGGCTGGCCTTGAACTCACTGTGTTGAACAGACTGGCCTTGACTGAGCTCACAGTGATTCCCTTGGGTGTACGCCACCATGCCCAGCACAAGTTATTTTTTTCCTTTTCTGTTAAGAGTTCATGTTATGTTCATGTTACTTACCTGTATTTGAAATAACTTTGAATTCAAATGGCAATTTCACCTAACTGTAAATAATGAACTATTTGAAATTAATCTCTTCATATCAGAATTAATCTCACCATTTTAGAAGTAAATCAGCTAGGTATAGAATCCCACACTCAGCACACTGAGGCAGAAGGGTTTTAAATTCAAGGCCAGTAGAGCTGCATAGAGAGTTCAAGACTGGCTTAAACTACATAATAAAACCTTGACTCAGAAAAACAAAAATCAAAAATAGAAAGAAAAAGAAAAGAAATATTGGTACAGTTTTGGTATTATTCCAGTAACAATAACTGTGTTTGCTTTTAGTAGCTTTATTGAGACATCTGACATGCAATAAATACATTTTAAGTGTATATACAAGATTTTTTTGTCTTCTGTCTTTTTGAGACAGTCTTACTATACACTTCAGGTTGGCCTTGAGCTCATTTTGTAGCCTAGGCTGGCCTCAAACTTGCAATGATCCTCCTCCTTCAGCCTCCAGGGTACTGGGATTATAGGTATGTGCCACCACACCCGGCTATTATGC